CTACTCGGCCAATTTCAAAATGTCGGCACGGCAGCTCCGCTATGTTCCGGCACAAGCAGCGGCGATCCACCTCGGGTTGACTATTTTCGGCCGTTTCTGATCGAATTCAGCCAAACTTGCATCAGTTCCTGTAAGAAAACACACTTAGGGACCTTGGTGGGCCGAAAAAATACAGAAAACCGAAACTTACCGCCGGTGGGGCTCTCCCGTGCGGCGGCTTCTCCGGCTCACGTCGCAGTTGGGTGTTTTGCTCCGGTCAACCTGTAGAAGAGGAAACGGTGATCACAATGGTGGAAAAATCACATCGAACGAGAATCGAGAATGGCCTCATCGGAGGTAAAAATCGAGACACCCCGCGGCGGCACTGTTGAGCTTCGGCGGTGTTTTTCGACCGATTGACAGGTGTTTTCGCTCCGATTTGGACATAAGTGGGTTTAGAATCAAATTCTGAGCAAATGGTAGAATTTTTACCTCGTTAGGCTGCCGGAAGGTACTCCAGTACGGCGGCAAGTGGCGGCGGTTAGCTCCCCGACGGCTGGGCTGTCTTCTCCGGCGAGGGGCTCTGGCGGCTAGGGCTTGGATTTGGGTGCGAATGAGGTTATTTATACCCATCTATTTTTTATCTGAGCCGTCCATTGTTTTTAATTTGAATCATCCGATCGCAATTAAATAGAGAATGAATATGAACCGTTCATCGCGATTCAATCTGAATCATCCGTGCGCGATTCAATCTGGGTCGTCCGTGCGCAATGCAATCTGGGCCGTCCGTGCGCGCTTTTGATCTGGGTCGTCCATGCGCGCGGGAACAGATCTCAGTCGTTCGATCGCGCGCACGCGGATCACCCACGTGGCTCCCTCCCGCGTTAGCATCTCTGCCACCTGGCGCGTCCTGCTTAACCAGGGCTGCTGACCGGGCAGCTGACGTAGCACAACTTTTCTAAATTGTGTTTTGACCTCCGGTTTCCAATTTTTCTTTGAAAAATACTCTCATAAGCTAAATTTTCACTTTTTTTTTCAAAATTATTTTTAATTAAATCCCTAAATAATTTTTACCTCTTTTTATTATTATTATTATTATTATTATTTCTAGTAAAATAAATTAAACTTTATTAATACTAAATTATATTTATATAAAATAAATTAAATTAAAATAATATAATATAATAATAATAATAATGGAAAGAAATTTGTTTTTTTGGGTGTTACACTGGACGCGTAAAGAGTACCGTCTTGGAATCTCAGCTTGCCTGAGTATACTCACCCGAGTCGAGACCTCGTATTGATCCTTGTCGTAGTCAACCAGCACTGAATTTTTCTCTTCAAATGCGGCGGCATTTTGTGGTTTTTGCGGATGATTAACGTTCTCCGAGTGGATTTTTGCAGATGTTTGGCCGAGTTGCAGGCAGCAGTAGCCATTTCATTGGTTGATGAAGGAAGGAGAGAGAGAGAGAGAGAGCAAGCGTAACGGCCAAGTTATCTTGTCTATATATAAAGAGACTGTATTACATGCGCTTTTAAGAAAATAAAAGGAAAAAAAAAAATCCCTTTCGTCCATTTTCTTTACCTCTCTCCTTATTTCCTGCTTCTCTACCACCCTCCCTCTCTTCTACAAGAAAACTCTACTAACTTCCTCTCTCTGTTTCTTGAACTACACCCACCATGGATTTCGACCCCGCCGACTTGGCGAAGGCAATGTCATTGCTCTCCTTGGGCCGGTTCCACCCGAATGATCATCAGCTAATACTCCATTTCTTGACCCGCAAAGCCATGGGCCTCCCATTGCCTCAAAACAGAATCTACATCACCGCCATTGACAAATGGACGAATCCCCAAGAACTCACTGGTGAGACTTCATCTTTTTTTGTTCCTCCCTTAAATTTCTGTCTGGGTTTGAAGATTTCGTTACAAAAGAATAGCTCGCTCTCTTTGTTGCGGCAGATAAAATACCGCTGGTGGAAGATTCAGAGAGGTATTTTTTTGTAAGAACAGGGATTTTAGTTGCAGATGATCGTCGAGACGATGTGGTTGGTGGAAGGGGATACTGGAAACCAGCGAGTGAAATTGCGGAGGAAATTGTTTTTAATGACGACAAGATTGGTGAAAAAAGGGAACTAATCTACTTTGAAGCTGATGGATCGGAAACCCAGTGGGTCATGGATGAGTATAGGATGTTCTTGGCTGATGAACCTCCTTCTTCCGCTAAACCGGACAATGTACGTGAGTATAAATAAAGCGAACTGGTTATCTTAAAAACGATAAAGAATTTAGAATTTATCATTTTGAGGTTAATCATAATGATGATGATGGGTATGAAACTACTGTTCTTGGATATTGATAATCAGGTCGAGGAATGGTTGGTGTATAAGCTGAGAAACAAAAAGGACGTTGACGTCTATGATAGTACTGATCTGGATGAATCTGATGATGTTGTTAGCCAGATAGCAAGAGAGGCAGCCGCCGCCGCAGCTCTCTGCATTCTTTATGAGCTACTTGACAACGAGGAAGAGGATGCGCCGCCGGCGTCCTCGACGAGCACATCGGAAGATCTGCCAGACCCCAAGCGAAGAAAGGGAAACACGTCTGGTGTTATCGTTGCAGATAATTCTGATAGTGATGATGATAAAAAAGAGAATTA